CTTGGTTCTAGATGTTAGTGGCACCCACACAACTTATTTCTATAGTCTTGGGTGTTGGTGGGCCTACATTAGTGTCTAACATTTGTGTTTAAATAGGTTCTAGGTGTTGAAGGGGCCCACACACGCATTTTCTACTTTTTTTTTATGTTAGTGGGTCCACATTAGTGTTTTTACAGGTTCTAGGTGTTGGTAGGGCCCAAATAACCCATTTATGTAGTTTTGGAGGTTGGTGGACCCACATTAGTGTTTTTATAGGTTATGGGTGTTAATGGGGTCCGTAGAAAAAGAGGGGAGAAGCCAAAAACCCCCCCAAAAAAAACAAAAAAAAGAAAAAAACAAGGGGCTTGTAAATTTTTAAGAGGTATTGAAGGTTAAGTGCGATATAGACCTAGTGCGTTGTGATGGAGAGTGCGATGTGATAATAAAGTGTGGGAAAGGTAGACGGGTATGATTTAGGTGCGATGAAGGCATTCTGAGATGAGATGCTAATGTTCTAAGGTGCGAAGAGCGGGTACTAAGGTGCGTTGGGTATGTCTTGAGGTGCGATGGAGGCCTTATAAGGTGCAATGGAAGCTTTCTAAGGTGTGATGGAGGCTTTCTAAGGTGCAATGAAGGCTCTTTAATGTGTGATAAAATCTTTCTAAGGTGCGATTTTGGTGTTCTAGGCTGCGATGAGCTGAAGGGAGTTGCGATTTTGATGTTCTAGTTTGCGATTGAGATGAAAGGAGTTGCAATTTTGATGTTTTGGGTTACAATGAGCAAGTTTTGAGGTGAAATTTTGAAGTTTTGGGTTGTGATGAAGCTAAAGGGAGGTGCAATTTTGATGTTCTAGGCTACGGTGGAGTTAAAGGGAGCTGTAATTTTGAACTTCTGGGTTGCGATGGAGATGAAAGGAGCTGCGATTTTAAATTTTTGGGTTATGATGGAGATGAAAGGAGTTGTGATTTTGAACTTCTGGGTTGCGATGGGGATGAAAGGAGCTACAATTTTGATGGAGACACTATTCCAAGGGAGATTTTGGATGCGATTTTGGTTGAGGTGGAGGCTTAGGATGTGATTTTGATTATAGGTGCAACAAGGTAAGGTGCACTAAGTTAGGTATTGCCAAGTTGTAATTTGAGTCTAAATTGGGGTCTTCCACGCTAAGCATTACTGAAATGTGATTTTAGATCGCTGGGAGGGGATCTCACTATGGTAAAAAGTGTTGAAATGCAATTTTGCCAAGCTGGGCAGGTCCTTCACGACAAGCTTCTTTAAGTTGCAATTTTAATTCACATTCCAGTAACTTTTAAACTTTTCAAGTCTTAAAATCGTACAACAAAAGGCGCAGAAATGGACCCAAACAACACCCCATAACAATCCTTATTACCTCCTTAGTGGAGTCGTTAGCTGTGAGCTCCAGGAAGCTTATGGCCGGCAAAAAAAAAAAATTGCCACCCATTTTTTAGAGAAAATGGGCTCTCATTTTCAGATTCAAAAATTTGATTTATCTCTTTGATAGTCTCTGTTCTCCACAAAAAAAGGCACACAACTAAGAGAATTTGGGTCTCAAGGATTGGGAGAGGGAATGTGTTAGGCACCCCTCTCTCCAAGCTGATGTAGTAACCTAATATGGGAGTTGTTTTGGCTCTATTTCTTACAAAAAACAATAGAAATTATTATTGAAATTTCTAAAATTTGGAGAAACATGCTCTCAACTTCTCTTGAGACCGACTTTGAGGCGATGTTATCAAGTCTTAGGTACTAGTTTCCCAAAGACCCTTGCCTCTTGCCTTTATTCTCAGTCTAGAAGAAGTTGAGAACAATGGTTTTCCAAAGTCTTAGAACTTCAAGCAACCTAGAAAAAACAAACTCGAGATACAAATGGGTTCAAAGACATACCTCTCGTGTGTAACCTTGTCAGCGATATTCTAGCAATCAAATTGATCAAAAGAGTGGTTGAATTAGCTTAATAGAGGTTTGGTCTGGTTGACTTCTTGGAGGTTTTGTGCAAATTTCAGGTTTGAAACACAGTTGATGGATTTAGAGTTTTACAAAGGTATAGTTGGGAATGGGATTTCTATAGAGGTTAGGGAATGCTTTTGAGGTCTCTCCTTTGTTTCTCCTTTCTTTAGATCTACCCTAGGTCTGCCCAAGGTCCTCCCTCTAGATCGAGTTGGGTTTGTATTTATAGAGAAAAAGAGGGAAGAGTTCTAAAATTTATTAAATCAGAGAGCCTCTGGACATGAAGACAACTTTTTCACAAAAATGGGTAAAGATTTTTCAAAGAAAATGGTGCCCAATAAATCTTTCTTCTTTAGTGAAACATAGCAGTTTCTTATTTGGGGCTTTCGGTGACATTAAATGTAAATTTGACCCACTTACAAAAACTATTTTGTCTTTTCTTAGTTTTAAACGGGGGTATCTTTAGGTTTTTTGGCTTTTTGGGTCTATTAGACTCAATTTCATTGGTCCAGATGTTTGAATAAGTGAAGAATGAGTTTGACATCAACTATCACCCTTTTGAGGTTTTAGATTGGGATAAATGATGTGGTGATTTAATCTAGTGCGTCGAAATGGTATATTTTTAGTTTAATGGTCGAATTGATGAATTAGGTAGTGAAATTTGATGTGCTGGGTTTTCTTGGTGGGTAGGTACTTTTGAATGTCCTGAATTTGATGGAAGTGATGGATCTTTGATCAGAGGTGTAGATTTACAAATTTGGTTCAAATCATGGTCTTAGCTTATGGTTTATCAATCAACAAGAGGGCCCGAAATGAAATTTCCCTTTTTCAATGGTGAAATGGAGGAGTTTGGTCATGAAATTTGATGTGTTGGGGTTTTTTGAGTTTCTTAACATAGTGGCGACGTTTGATTGGTCAAATAAAATTGGGATGATGGATGATAAATTCTAATCAACGAGGTTTGCTGAAATAGGATTTAGGCTTAATGGTGGGTCAAATGGGAGAATTTCGAATTGGAATTTGGTGGGTAGGCACAGATTAAGAAAGAAATGGTCAATCTTGGTAATCATTTAAGGCCATCAAAATGGGACCTTTGTGTTTTTATAGTTGATTATCATAGATTTGTGGCATGATTTGCTAGTTGATTGTATCGTAGTGATCTTGAGGTGATGGATGTGTTAGATTTGATTTTGGGGCTGTTAGAAAGGGAATTGGCACAATAAACAGTGGATGTGTGACTAATTTATAGTTTCTTAAGTCTGTAGGCCATATTTGATTGGGTGTCGAGATGTTGATCTCAAGGTTTTTATTTGTCCCATGAATTGTATTAAAAGAGGAAATTTTGGTTTTGTAAAGTCTTAATTTAATCTGGTTGTGATTTTAAGTTTTGGGGTTTAAAAGGAGGGTATGAAGAGGTAAGGTGAAAGGACCAAGCAAAAATTGGATTCTCACAATTAGTAAATAAAAAGATTTTATTTTCTATTATTAGTACATTAATAAATTAATTATCTTGAATTAACCAATTATTTATTTAACTATTTTTATCATATAAAATACTTTTTTCTAAGGTGGATGATGTAGTGTTTGCATTTCTTCTTAATCTCTTCTATCATCATATTGGATATTGGATTTTCCTGTGCATTGTACGACCCTTGCTAGTAACTTTATAAGATGCCCTTTTAGGCTGCCATGTGTTTAAGCTAAAGAGATCAAAACACATAAAAAAGATAAATTAACAATAGTATTTTAGTGTCATTTTTATTAAGTTTATATTATCAAAATTTTATGTTTTAAGTAATTATTTAATTAATTTTAGTATAAACCAAATTATCCCAATTATTTAATCGGAATGGTTCTACGGCCAAGATTTTGTCTCAATTAATCATTGGTTTAAGATTGGGACCACCTTGTCCCAACCCAAACCCAACCTGTTTGACAGCCCTATCCTTCCCTAGAATTCATTATTTTCTAAAAAACAAAAAAGAATGTACTAGCTTGTATTTTTAGTCCTCACTCCTCAGGCATGGATTATTTGTTTAGCTGGGCTTGGATCTAGCCTTTAGGTAATTTGGATTTGGGCCAAGTTTATCTTTAATCCTATTTTAATCTAAACTTGGCCCAATTCTACACATATACATATATATCAAATTTCTATGTTCACTGATTAATCAATAAGAGCTTCTAACCCAATAAAACAAAAACCCAAACAGAAGTCCTATTCGGACTCAAACCCACTTAAATGCATCAAAAAATTCAGCATCAACTGAATGTCCCGTTTGTTTCTTGGGAATAAGGGTTTGGGATTGGAATCAGAATGGGCTATTTCGATTTTAATTATTTGGTTGAATGGAATCAGAATCTCATTCCCATTTCTACTGAGATAGCTATTCTTTCCCCTCTTTTAGGAATAAAATCCCATTTCAATTTTCATTTTCATTTTTATTTGAACTAAACAAACTATAAAAATAGATCATTCCGATTCTAACTCTAAAAGATTTCGATTTTTAAATCTAACCCAATCCGCCCCATTTGTACCGGACTCTATTGATTGGGCATTTGCATTTACAGAGAAGAGGAATGCCATGTCAGCGACAGACGACAGTTTTACTTTAAATTTTTTGGGTTGTGTGTTAGGTGGTCCGACACAGACTCTCTGTTAGGGTGGTGATATCATTTTCCACAAGCCTCCCATTAGGCTTCTGACAACGAACCCACCTCTCTTCAGATTGGCGAGCATAATGCGTGAACTGCACGTGGGCAATGATAAAAAGGTCTCTGCTTTAATTGGATGGAACAGTCTGTTTTGGTTTCTACTTTTATCACTTRGTACTTTCATTTACGAATTCACATCTCCGCGCCACAGCACATCTCTTCCGTGTATTGGGAATATCTCCATCGGGAGTGATATTATCATCGAAATATATTCTTAATACACGACGGAGATGTACTGTGGGGCGGCTCCTTGTGAGGCGGAGATGTGAACTGTTCATTTACCAGCCTAATCGTATGGTTGGTGTCTGACAATTATGGAGGCGTTTGACAAGGTAATGTTGCACCTGTTTACCAGATTGCTCATTTTGGAGCAAACATCCTGATGCAGAATTGTGCTCAGCACCCGCCATTAAAGCACGGAGCCATAGCAAATTAGCAATGCAAACAGGAATTGTGTTCAGGTTTTGTTGGCCGGTTTTAAGATTTTGAGCAACAGTGGTTACAGAAAATGTGAGCTTATTTATTTATTTGGTAAGATTTACATATCTGCAAAAATAATAACAAGAAAAATTAAAAAAGTATGAGAGAAGATGCAAGTCAAACCTTTCGTGTTCTTCCTTTTTTTCTTCTCTCTCTCAGACCTTTGAGATTGTTAATTGAAATTGGAACTTTTAAAGTCTCAATCTGGACCTCCAACCCACAATTATCCACAGCACAGGACACTACAGCTTGTACATTGAGAAGATTTCCCATGTATAGAGTGATATGTCGGTAGGGTTCTGGTGGGTAGGAGATTTGAACACCTAAAAACCACCATCTTTCCCCAAAAGCATGTACCAAGGTATCACACTTTCTCGCTAGCTCCTTTTCTGACTTTTTCCAAAGGGAACTATTACTAATGTATTAAATATAAGGAAAATCTATGATGCGGGAAAGATATGGTATGGGAAGAGCTTTGACCAATCAAAGCCCACATGTGAATTTTGTTAAATACCATCTGATTGGTTAATAAGTTTATGATATTGGTTGATTGGTCACAAGTTTTTCAGATATGATGTCTTTCCGGTGTCAAAGTTGAACCCATTAGTCAGAAGAAAAAAAAAACGTAATTCCAGACTTATGATCTTGCTTAATTCTGTAACTACTTTGAAGGTCTTTTTTCATGCATGTTTCCATTTGTTTGCTACTACTATAAACAATTCATTAGCCATAAGAAGCACCATCAATAATCATAGATAATCACTTAGTCCTACTTAAAGAATAAGACCAATTAATGCAACTTTACCAATTAACTTTGAAAAGGGAACTCAAATGTTCCTTTCCTTTTAGGCCTTTTCGTATTTTCAGTAAGTTATTTATTTGGGTAAATGCAATTACTTGGGTAAGTTTTTTCTGTGAAACACTTACTTGGGTAAGTATTGGCAACTTACCCACTATGTGGGAAATTTATTGATCCATCTATGAGATGGGATACCCAGGAAAATAAACTTTCCCTGATCCCCACATAAAACTGAAAAAGAACATGGGATTCTTGGTCAATGGGAACCAAAATCTCATTGACCAACTTTCCCCCCTCTCAAAATCCAAAAAAAGAATGCCCCCTTAGTAGAAATTAACAATCTTATTATCATCTTGAAAACCCTTATACTACAAATAAGAAAATACAAATCTTTGCACACCATGTTTGTTTGTACGAACTTGTCAAAAACTTCCTCCATTGTTGATCGACCTTGCCCAGCTCTTTCGACCAATGCTGTATTCTTATGTTTCACCTCCTCTGGCATAATCGAATCTCATAAACCTTCTCTTCGGTGGGGTAGAAGAGCCTGTAGTTATTCTTAGAGGTTGTGCTCAGCTTCTTGTTTTCATTAAACAAGGCAAACAAGCAAATGCTGATCTTCTTGTGGTCTCAGTGGCGTACCACCCCCAATGAATACCACCCTATGTGAGTGTCGGAAAATGGTTCACTTCGGCTGATTTGGAGTTCCCACCCATCATTTGAAAGAAGCGGAGGTGATGGGCCCTTAGGGAGCTGTGTTTAAAATCTTTTGGCTTTGATAGTGACTCCAAACCCAAGAAACTGGATGAACCAGTCTAGGTAAGAGTCATAATGGAGAGGGAAGGGTTTAGGCACTCCTCTCCCATTTCTAATGGGTGAGGCTCACAATTGGGGGGGGG